CCCCCAGGGTCACATCCTTAACCCTGTCCCACTCACATACCCTGGTATTGACCCTCAAATTAGCTCCCAGGGTCACATCCTTAACCCTGTCCCACTCACACACCCTGGTACTAATTCCCAAATCATCCCCCAGGGTCACATCCTTAACCCTGTCCCATTCACATACCCTGGTACTGACCCCCAAATTAGCTCCCAGGGTCACATCCTTAACCCTTTCCCACTCACACACCCTGGTATTGACCCCCAAATCAGCCCCCAGGGTCACCCCCCCAACCCTGTCCCACTCACCCCAAAGAAGATCCACATCAGCCCCCAAAATCTCCCCCCTCCCACTGCCTTTGCCCCCCTTGGGCTGTGTACCTGGTTAAAGAGACTCTGTGTTGTTACTTCAAAGCCCCAAACACACCCAAATCCAGCAGCACTTCCGCTGAGCTATTTAAAGGTATCAAAATGGATTTGTGCCCACCACCTGGGAGAAGCGCTTAAAACCAGGTCCTCTTGCACACGGGTTTTAAATATTTGAACCAAGCTTGGAGATAACTCGTTAGGGACAAACCCCAAACTGTTTTGAGTACCTGGTGATAAATATTTACACAAACATAGTGGTTATAATAGTGAGTGGTACACACTGCTCTCAGAGCTGCTCTCATCAGGCCCAGACCTATCTTTGCCAGCCTGGGCTCTGCCTGCCTGGCTGCTCTTTGCTGCTGCCACACTACAACGAGCAGCAATTTTGGCTCCTCTCCCCTTCCAACAGCTCAGCTGTGATCTCTTATTCCTGGTTCCAAAGTTCTCCTTTCTTCTCATGGACAGGAAACTCAAAGGGAAAAAATAAAACAAAAAATCAACCGTGTCCTCAAGCTGCAGCAATCCTCTTAAACTGTGTCTGTCTGCTCCAGGTTCCCAACACATCTCCCAGGAATCCATTCCCTCTCTAAACCAAACTGTGCTCCAGGATGATGCTGAACTAAGCAGACATGGCAATTAAAGCCTGTTCTACAAACAACTGCTCCTCTCTGTGGTTCAGACAGACTGATAAAGGCAGCACCCACCTTCAGGTGCCCCACATGCATCTCACCCCCAAGGGACCCACTCCAATGCCAGAGCAGCCATCAGGTGTGGCACGGGCACATTTCTTTCTCATACACTGACACGAAACTTTGCTGCTCCTCTGGAGCCTGTAAATGGAAGGATAAAGCTGCCAACCACTGGCTCGATGTGTAGATTCCTGCTGCAGGGCAGAGGGAGAGGAGGACCACACAAACCTGCATCGAGCAGAGCCTTGGTGAGAGCCTTGCAGCAGGGCTGAGCTGCCTTTGGTGTCGCAGGGATAAATCCAGTGAGGGTTACCAGCTCCAAACACTCACACCATGCACAGACCCTCCCCGTGCTGCCTGCCCCTGCAGTCTGGGAGGGCTGGTAGCCTTATAATGTGACTTTTCCTTTTGGGGGTTTGGAAGCCAGATCCCCATGCTGCTGCACCCCTGCCCAAATAACCCATCTATGTCTCAGGCCAAGAACTTATTTTGCAGTTTTTGGATGAGGGATTCTGTTACTAATCTTTGTGTACAGAGCTGCAGGTTGTGAGTTGTGCTGGTGTTCAGGAAGAAACTGGGTATTTTCCTTGGTTGTTTTTTTTTTTTAAATAATCTCACCCTGCAGCACGAGGGTGGACCTGGCCTATCTGAGAGCTGACCACAGCTCAAGGGAGACCAAAGACACCACCAGTGTCATCACCCAAATGCCAGTGCCCTGCAGTGGGTATCTGAGGACACAGGGCAGATCCCATGGGGCGAAACCTCCCTGGAACTAGGGCAATTTCCCAAGGGTAAAAACTCCCTGGGGCTGGGCTTTCCCCACGAGCTGGCCCTGCAACCTCCATGGTCATGGCTGGGGATGTGGCTCAGCCCTTGTTGAGGCCAGGAGTGATTCCCTGAGGGGAATGTGGCCAGTCTGGGATCAGGAGAGGGAGGCAGAGCTACACCCTGTGTCTCAGCACCTCCTTGAACCCTGTGGGATGGCCAGTTTCCCGCTGTGCTGCTCCTAATTGCCTGCAAGATAATGTCAGGATCATCTCATCCTCACACCAAAGGGGTCTATCCACTTTCCCATATACCTTGTCTGAACAGGAGCTGGCTTTGTGGGGCTTCTTGTGGGCTACTGAGGGTGGAAAAGGGCTCTGTACCCTATACTGGCAATGTCACAGGGCTGTGAGTGTCCCCAGAGCTCCCAGCACTGCCAGCAGGCTCAGCTCTGGACGTCCGTGAAGAGAACTGGGAAGCTGTGGAGTGGGTCAGTTACAGGAGTAATTGATGCATTAAATACTTCTCTCTCTCCATAGGAACAAAGCAAAGCAGCCTGGGGGCCACATGAAGAGTCCTTGGAGAGCTGATTGCACCGGCCAGTCCCAAGACTTCCATCTGCAAAGGCTCTGAGCAATTTTTGCAGGAAAAGAAGACAAGACGTGACAAAAATCTGTTCTCGCTGCAGTGAATCACCCTGACCCCCCAGCCGTGGGGAGAAACACGGTTTCTCCTGCAAACCTGGGCTCACCTCGGGTGCTTCGGTGCAAGGATTTAGCTGCATGCTGGACACATTTGCAGTCGGAGAGGAACCTCCATTCCTAAAAAAACCAGCCCTGCAGCCCCTAGGGTTGAAAAGCCCTCTCCCAGTGACTGCTGCACGGGGAAGCAATAAGGAAAAAACCCCCAGACTTTGGGTGTCCAGCTCCCTTTGGGGCACCCAGCCCCGGCCCGGGGTAACATCACTAACAGCATATTTACCTCGCACTGCGCGCAAAGCGCCCCCGCCCCGAGCTCCCTCGCCTGCCCGGGAGGCTCCCAGCGGCCAGTGGAAGGGCCCGGGATCCCTCCCCGGGCTCGGCGTGCGATTGCGCGCGGCCGGCGGAGCGCGCCCCGCCCCCGGAGCCGGCCCCGGGGCCCCCCGCCTCCGGCGGCGCACGGAGAGCGCTGCGATCCGCACCGCCGGAAGCCGCACCGAGCGCCCGCGGCGGCTTCCCGCCGACCCCGCGAGGAGGTGCAGCGCCGCCCGAGGCTCCCCCTGCCACCCCCCGCGCCGGGCTCTCCCTGCCACCCCTTTTCCCGGGCATCTCCCGTGCACTCTCCGTGCGCCCCTTTTCCCCTTCACCCCTTCCCTGCGCGTTCGCGGTGCGCTCCTCGCTGACCTCTCCGTCCACCCCCTTCTCCTTTGCATCCCTTCTGTGCTCCCCACCGCCTTCTGCCTGCACCCCCTTTCCCCGTGCATCCCTTCTGTGCTCTCCAGCGTGCTCTCCCTGCACCCCCTTTTCCTTTGCATCCCTGCTGCACTCCCCACTGCACTCCCTGCACCCCCTTTGCCCCTATATCCCTTCTGCACTCCCCAGGTGCTCTCTGTGCACCCCTTCTTCCGTGTAGTCCCTGATCCACCCCTCGCTGACCTCTCCGTGCACCCCTTTCCCCTGCACTCCCACACCCTCTGTGCCTGCCCAGTGCCTTCTCCACGCGTTCTCCCCCCATCCATCCCCTCTCCGTGGACTCCCGGCCATGAACAGCTCCACAGCAGGCTCCGAGGGGGGCTGGCATCCCGAGTCCGTGATCATCCCCCTGGTGTACCTCGTCATCTTCCTCGTGGGCACGGTGGGCAACAGCCTGGTCCTGGCCGTGCTGCTGCGCAACGGGCAGGTGCAGAACACCACCAACCTCTTCATCCTCAACCTGGGGGTGGCCGACCTCTGCTTCATCCTCTTCTGCGTCCCCTTCCAAGCCACCATCTACACCCTGGAGGGGTGGGTGTTTGGGCCCTTCATGTGCAAGGCTGTCCACTTCTTCATCTACCTCACCATGTACGCCAGCAGCTTCACCCTGGCCACCGTCTCCCTCGACAGGTAGGAAAAAGGGAATGGGGGGGGTTCCCTGGACCCTGAGGGTTCCCTTTCTCTGGATACCTCCCTTTTTCAACACCTCAGTGCCCAGCTGGAGGAAGCTTTCAGACCCCAAAGCTGTAGGACTGGGCTCTGGCAGTTGAAGTGGAAATGGAAAACCAGAGAAAAACAAAGCTCAGTCCCTGTGCAGCTGTGGCTCTCCCTGGGATGTATGGAGAGAGCCCTGACCCTCCCAATAGCCCCTGGCAAAGCAGGCTAACCTCGAGGAGGAAAAGCCACTGGGATATTTGAGCTGAGACACTGATTTTCCCACCCTTCCCTTTCATTAGCAAAAAGCCCCTTTTTCTCCCAGTGCTGTCCCTTTGCTCCAGTGGTTGTCCCTTTTCCAGGGTAGTTTTTAGCCAGGAAGGCTGTTATTCCTGCCTGAGCTTTACCTCATGCTCACTCAGCCCCTGACTCTGCAAGGGCCGGTGAGTTATGAACCTGCAGTGAGTGAGAGGCAGGGAGCTCCTGGTGCTGCTCTGCTCTGTGCCTGAAACCTGCAAGATGGGATGTGGAAAGTCCATGGAAAGAGCCATGGCAGCCCCAGAGCTGGGCTGGATGTGTTCTGCCATCCCAGCAGGTGCTGGGACAGCATCCCCAGGAGCTAAAACATGGCCAGGGGCTGCCTCTCCCCCCATGTCCCCCTGAGCTGGGGGAACAGAGGTGCCAAGCTAGGGAAGTAGCATAGGCCCCCAGTTCTGGGTGTAATTAGGGAACCAGTTAATTACAGAACTGGAAAGGGGTGATGTGCTTTCATGTGTGCCAGTGTGAGGAACACTGTCTGGGGATCCTGGGGACTTGCTCCTGCCTTCGTATCCACACTGCTGCTATCATTTGTGCTCTGCCAGTCAGAGTGATGATCAAGTGAGGATCTGCTGGATTAGGGAGAGGGACAGAAGGGGACCATACCTCTTGTCCCCACAAGTACTGCTGCGAGCAGAAAGGGTGACGGGACAGGGTTGGGTGAGCATCTTCCTCACTCTGCACTGTACAGGGACCCTGAGAAGCACCAGGGAATCAGTTGTGTAACTAATTGCCCTGGAAAACTCAAATCCATCCCTTGTGCCCTTCCTCCAATCGGTCCCAGAGATGCTCTCTCTGTGTCCTCCCCAGGACTGCAGCTGTGTCCCTCTCCCTTTCCCACACAGGTATTTGGCCATACGATACCCCCTGCACTCGAGGGAGCTGAGGACGCCCCGGAACGCCCTCATGGCCATCGGCCTCATCTGGGGGCTTTCCTTCATCTTCTCGGGCCCTTACCTCAGCTACTACCAGGAATTCCAGCTGGCCAACCTGACCGTGTGCCACCCCATCTGGGAGATCTCCCAGCGCAAGGTCATGGACATCTGCACCTTCGTCTTCAGCTACATCATCCCGGTGCTGATCCTGAGCCTCACTTACGTGCGGACTATTCGCTACCTGTGGAAGTCCGTGGACCCTCTCCAAGACATGTCCGAGTCCAAGAAGGCCAAACGGAAGGTCACCAGGATGATCATCATTGTGGCCGTGCTGTTCTGCCTCTGTTGGCTGCCCCACCACCTGGTCATCCTCTGCGTCTGGTTCGGGTACTTCCCCCTCAACCACTCCACGTACGTGCTCCGCATCCTGTCGCACGTCATCTCCTACGCCAACTCCTGCGTCAATCCCATCGTCTACGCCCTGGTCTCCAAACATTCCGCAAGGGCTTCAAGAAGATCTTCAGCTGCCTCCTGCACAAGAAGGCAGCCCACAGGGTGCACGTGGCCCAGGTGACCAACACCGTCAGCACGCTGGAGGCAGAGCTCAGCGAGGTGACCCAGCTCAGCGAGGCCCTGCCCGGCCGCTCCGCCACACGCTGCAGGGTCCCAGCCCAGCCCTGGGGGGAGGTGGAGCTGGTGGGACAGCAGCACAAAGCAGATGGCTCCTTCGTCACCTTCAGTGTCAGCTAGCAGAGCTTCTCCCCGCCCCACGGCTTTGCGGGCTCCTGCAGCAATGGCAGGCCTGGGGACAGGCTACGTTTTGGGCTGAAATGTGGCCAGTCGGACTCTTTCCATTCAAGTGCACCCAGATGTCATAACACTGATCATGCTGCTGATACAGACTCAGCCAAGCAGCTGACCGAGGATCCAAGGTCAGGATTTCCTTCCACCAAGCACTTGCTGAGAGTAGAGATCAAACCCCCCAAATCCACTCTGGTGTAATCACCTGTTCCTCTGTCACGGACAGACTTATGCCCTGTTGCAACTACACCTGGAGGTTGTTGAAAGCTCTGGTCCCTCCAACCAACACAGCATCTGGCTGGAGTTAGTGGGGTGCTCTTTTAGGGATATTTGGGAAGTCTTGGTTTGTTTGTGACCTGGTACAGGAGCTGCATCCCACGGCAGCTCTGGGCACAGCCGTGTGGGCACAAACCCAGCTCAGGTAGGAAAATCCAGGAGAGAAGCATAGAAGGTCACCAAGGACCAGAAGGGAGGGAGGCTGTTTGCTGAGGGAGCACAGCCATGGCCCTGCAGGAGGGGAACCTGAGTGGGACAGGACCACACTGGGGGAGGATTTGAATGCCTTGGACAGCTCAGGCACGGCTCAGCCTCTCATCAAAGCGAGGTGATTGTGGAGAAGAGCAAAGCAAAGCAGCAGCACTGCTTCCCTGGAGCCACGGTGAGGGACTGGACAGCCAGAGCCGTGTGAGAGGTGGGGGTCATCCCCAGCCAGTCAGGAAAGCCTTAATAAAGCCTCTTCATCTCACCTCCTGTGTTCAGCTCCCTTGAGACACCCCACAGCTGCAGGGGAGGAGAGAAGGGTGCTGGAGGGGTGGTGGGACCTGCTGGATGGAGGGAAGCTGAGGGTGGAAGGGATGGAGGATGTGGACTATATCCAAGCACATCCATGGAGGGGGGTCACTGTGGCACAGGAATGTCACTGCACCCTCTTCATATAGCTGTACCTGCCCATGAGAGGCTGGTGTGACTCACAACCTCCTGCTCATTACACTGCAAAGGCTGTGTGAGAGCAGAGCCCTGTGACCATCAGCAGCCAAGGGCCTTAAATGAAAGCCCTCTTTTCTGTACCACAAGAGCATCACTGGAATAGGATCAATTAACTCTTTTGAAAACCCTGTGGCAAAGCACAGCCAGAGGTGGCAGTGAAAGTGCACAGGAGCTGGGATGAGCTGTCTGCACGGATTTCCCTCTTGTGAATCTCTAAGGCAGAACTCTCCAGGACTGGGCTGCATTGCAGGAGGCTATTTCTGTCCAGGACCCTGGTTCTCCCTGGGTGTCTGGTCAGGACACAGCCCTCCTCCACCCCTCCCCAGTGCTTGGCCTTTCTTTCTGAGAAGCTTTTGGCTGTAAATAATTTCTTTTCCCCTGCTGAGTGTTATTATAACCAGATCTTCCTGCCTCAATGCAAAGGCCCATAAATCAGCCACTGCCTCATATCAATAACTGTGATATTTAGTCTCGGCTTGCTTGCAGCATAAGTCACAGAGAGCAGCATATAAACAGCTCCATTAATTATATCTGGATTTATCTCCCTGTTCAACCCTTTACAGCCAGGGAAAACATTGGATCAGCTGCACAAACACAGTTAAAGCCTTATCTTCCTCCTGCGCTCATCTACCTCTGCTCAGAGGGCTGCGGGATCTGGCTGTGATGGATCCCCCACACACCAAGGGGTTCAATCCCCTCTCCTGGACAGTTATCAGCTCACCTTGGGGATGGAGATGTTGACCCATCACCTCTGCACTGCCCAAGGACATGGGTCCCTGTGCTGGCATGGCTGTCCCCTGTCTGCTCATGACAGCAGAGCATCCCAGAGCAGACACTGACCCTGCTCCCCTCCTTCCCACCCCAGCCTTTCCAAGAGCCCTCCAAGCCCACAGCTGAGACCTGCCCTACCCTGCTAACTGTTCTAGAGCTGCTCGGCCACCCATGACCACTTTGAAGGCACATCCCAGGACACCTCTAACTCAGCTCCCAGGGCACCAAAAGGTTTTTCTGCCACACAAAAACATGTTGGGAAGTGACTTTTCCCCACAAATAACAGTGCATATCAGGAAAAGACAAGAGTATCACGACCTGCTGCTACTCAGCACCCTCCCAAGGGAGGCAGGCTCCTGGTCTGTTCCCTTGGGAGGCCTTGTCTTAAATTAAGATCAGTGCAAGTCCCCCTGTTCCAGTTAAAATTTAATAAAAGCATATTCAATAGGGAGAGGAAAATAAATAGGCTAAAGTCAGCTCTCAAGTCCAAGAGTGCACAGGGACATGAGGGACACTTAGCTGAAATCTCAGTTAATGTGAACTTTGCAGCACATGGATTTATCACTGGAGTTAAAGAAGTTGTTTTCGTTTGTGGTTTTGCTTTGTTTTCAAACACTTACTCTGCCAAATTTGCTCCCCAGTATTAGGAGGCAGCAGGTAGGAGACACTCAGATCCTGGCACAGCCCCAGCATGGGCCTCTGTGGAGCTACAAAAATAAACAACAGAGAAATGGGGCTCCAGCCCCAAAACCTTGGAAATCAGAGAGTCTGTGTCAGGCTGAATGGGAGGTGAGGGGAGAGCATTAAACCTTGCAGGAGCCTTGGAGAAAGCAGAGGGGGAGGCAGAGGGGTTCAGCCCCATCCGTGGCCCCTTCCCACAGTCTCAGCATCACTTGAGGCTCTGCAGTCAGCTCTTAGCAAGGATGTGAAGGGCTAAAGTGTGAGAGGGCCAGGCTGTGCTGGCTGCCATGATCACTCTTAATTAACATGTTGCAAACACATTCCTTACCATAAAAAGCCAAGGAGCACACGGAGCCGTTCCCTGCACTGTGCAGTGTTGGACAAAGCCAGTCTGGAGGGGGCCAGCAGCTCCTCCTGCTCCCACCCCAAGGGAGGGGTGGCTCAGCCTGAAACATGCTGCTGATCCCAAAGCAGGTCTGGTTGCTGCAGGGGCTGCTCAGCGAGGCTGAGAGCCTGTCCAGCTCCCCATGTTCATTCCCTGCACAGGGGAGAAGGAGGTGGTGAGGGAATGGTTAGAGCCAAGGGTGAGTGGGAGGCTGGATTTAAGAAACAGGGACTGGATGGCTCAGTTTTCCCTTTAACTCAGGGAAAATGAGGGTCTTGATTCCCACCTGCTACCTCCTCCAGCTCCTCTTCACTGAATAGCCTGCACAGCCACCAGCAAGCTCAGCTCTCAGTCCCCCAGCCTCTTACCTCCATTCCTTACTCCAGATGCAGCCAGGGCATCCCTGGAGTAGAAAACAACCCAACCAGCTACTGGTGCTGGTAATGGAGAGCCCAGGAGGGAGTGGGACATTTTGCATCCCATCTCTGACTGCATCTCCCCACCAGCCCTGGTCTGTACAGCTTTCCTGGGGGAACAGGCTGACAGCAAAACCCAGAAATGCCTCTTTTGGCATGGGTCATGCAGAGGCATTCCCAGAATCTCTGGAGAACAGGATGTGGCCTTGTCCCAAACCCTAAAGGATTTCATGCATTTTCCACAGGCTCTGGTTGGCACAAGAGCATCAGCATAGGGAGGATTCCAGCTCCTGCACACTAAAGCTCAGGTGCTCCAGAAATGCTGCAGGCAAAGCTCCCTCTTCCCTCCCTTGGCTTTGCCTGTGACCGTTCTGGGTGAATTGCCTTGCCCTGGGATCAGGGGCAATAAAACACATTTTACAGCTCAGCCTGAATTCCACACACTCTCCTGGAGAAAGAAACTCATATCAGCCTGCTGCAGTGGCAGAAACACATCCAGAAAGATGGAATCCAGGCCCTTCTGGTGAATGTCAGGGTGTGTATCCAGCAAGCTGGACACTGCACACAACACAAGCCAGCAGCACTTTGCTTATGCTTTCCAACACTGTCTGGCGCCTGCTGGCCTTTGGAGGCTCTTGGAGCTGGCAGAGGTGAAAAACAGCAAGTGCTGAGGTCTCAGGTGTCCTCAGACATTTGAGATCTGAAAGCAGGAGGGAAGGTCCCTGCAGGGAGGGCTCTGGGGTTGGCACTGTGAGCCTGCACAGTCAGACACATAGGAACGGCCAGGCTTGAACTCACATCGTGGTCCAGCTCTGGGCTGGACAAGCCTGTCCAATCTGCTGGTTTTCAGGCATTTGTTACACCAGGTAGTGTTTCAGACCAGGCTGAGGAGGAAGAGGAGGTCAGGGGTTTAGAAAAGCCAGGAGCTCCCTGAAAAACATCTGTCTGAGGAGGCAGCAGCTGAGGCAAGATGCTGGGTCGGCCACAGCAGGACCTGCACTAACATCCAACAGCTCTGCCACTGCTGGGCTAATCAGACACCAGCAAACACTCCAGCAAACACAGCTCAGGTGAATAATGGATTTGCTCCAAATTACAAAGCAGCAGCTATTGTGAGTGCTCCTCACTCTATGGAAACCCTGTATTTCAAGTGTTGCAGACAAACAGTGGAGCAGCAGCAGGAGAGAGGGAGGTGGGAGCAGGAGGTGCCTGGCCAGAGACCACAGATACAACAGAGGTGTTCCTCTGAAAGGCTTTGGTGCAAAGCTGTCAGAGTCCAGTTCCTGTATCAAAGCCTGCCAGGATTGCTCCAAGGCATGTGGGAGAGCACTTGCTTCACACATGCCTATGGGCTGAACAGAGGGAACAGGCTTGGATGCTTGCAGGGAAGAGATGCATCAGATTTAAGACAGGAGACAAAGGAAAAAGAGGGATGGGAGGAAGATGCTGAGCAGAAATCTGTACGTACACTTCTGCACGTGCTCTGCCTCAGGTCGAGGGGCAGCACTCAGCCAGGCCACCACGGAGCTCCCTCTGGTTTCCCACTGCTCTGTCATGACTCCAGACTGCCTTCACCCCACCTGCCACTGCCAAATTTTGGGTAAAACACGCTGGTGCATGACTAGCCTGCACCACCACGGCCACACACCACCACAGCCCAGAACTGGCATCGCAGCCCATCACTGAACTAAATAACAGTCAAGAGTAACCATGTGAAAATCCTTTGGGATCCTACAGAACTGAGATTCCCAAAACCCATCAGGGAAGCACATGGCACCATTGGAGCTCA